GCGGAAAATCTATACCCGCGTCACGGAGTAATAATTGGTTGCAAGGTACACTAAAGGGCAATGTGAGTTTGAAGACAACACAACTTTTGGCTTTTGGAATAAAGAGCCCACCAGTGGCATAACACTGACAGATTTTTACATAGAAAGCCCGCCACTTGTTTAATCACTGGTAGGCATCTAATTATGGCGTAAGATATTAGTTTTACAGCATGTAGTTTAATATTTAGACTAAAATAGTAAGTCCGATGATATTCAAGAATGAAATACAGGTTCTTTACTTGTTGGTATGATACTAAACCTGCGGAAAATGCGGTTTTGCTGCAGTAATTCAAGTGGGTGGGTAATCATCCTCACGGCGTCTTATTCCAGACCGACACCTGCAGAAGAGACGAAAAACAGCATAGGGACATGTCAGAAGGTGGCCTGTCTAGGCTCAAGGCTACCAAATACAACGCAAGGGACATGCTAACCCAGTCGTAGTATAAGGGAGCCCTGAATGTGGGGCAGAAGATTTCTTCCTGAGCAAGCTGACCCTCTGAACAGATAACTGGCGATATCTAGCCGTACGAGACTTCAACGCACCACCAGATGACTGATATGAACCGATAACAAAAGCATCAGACATCTCGTTTGATCATCGATTTCCATGGTCTTCATGCAGCACACTACAGCAGCTACTAGATAGGATCATCAACATGCTCCATCAGTTCTAGGCCTTGTATCCTTGAACATGAGTGACGTTAGCCTCATTCAACACCTTGCACTTTATGACAAAAGGGACCATGCTGTGATCACCTTCAGATTTACTGTAGTCTTCTTGTTCTAGGCCGATACTCCAGGTAGACCAAACATATGGAAAGTAAAAGTGTTTGTTATTGAGGCCGAAAGTTTTGCTCCGAATTTATCTCATCAAATTCTTTTCTTTCAGCTTGCTTTGATAGTTTAAATATGTCTTCTAAACGCGTCAATAACTCTCGCGCACCGTTAAAGAGGTTTCAAACCGGCGTTTTTCAAGGTAGCAGCAAGACAAAGAACAGCAGTAGGCCGGTAAGAGACGGGCTTATAAATGCAAAGAAATACAGTGTTTAACTATTCCTCGAATAACTTTGTGCAATTGCAGATGCTGGTACCAGCTGAAAAGCTGCCACCAGAACTGCACTCCATATTCTATTCATTCAGGAGCCTAAAACAGAAGCCAATATAATGCTGTGTGTCTTTTTCACTTTGATCTTTTATTACTGCTATTATCAACACCATTCAAATGCAATGGTTATTTCGCCCAAAGTTATTGTAGAGGGAATGAATTTGTCGACCTATCATATTCCAAAAGTTTTATACTGTACACACAAGTCTTGTTTGGCATAAACCTGTTATGATTATTATGACTAGTCATCCTATCTAAGGTGGGTGAGGAGTTCGATGAGTATTTTCTATTCTTTTTCTCAGTTGCGATGCCAAATATTCTCTGAAGATTGCTAGTTTTTCTTATTCAGATGAAGAATTGGCAGGCAACAGAAAGCCATTTTATGGTCACCTTTAGAGAATTCTCCGCTGATTTTTGTGGTGACAGTGGTGATGTCACGACGAAGGACTTTGTCCAGCATAATGTTTCGTTGAATAGACGTTTCGGTTCGACTCATAGTTGTCTGTGGCACCAAGTATTTCGTTAAAGCCTTGTGGGCTACAACCGGCCCCGCAGTGGACCTCAGGAAAGTCAGTCTCCTACAATGAGTTTATAGCCCGCTGCGATGGGTCAGGCATGGGTAAATGATATAGCGATTGACGCATCGTCTTCCCCTTGGGAACATGGCGCTTTATACACACAAACTTTCGAGATCCTGTGGTTGATACTGCCTACAGTAACCCAAGGTGAATCCCGCAGATCACTAAAAATATCATCTTCACTCCTGTTTAGGGTGATGATGGCTATATACATTGGTCAAGCAACCTACCCGATGATTACGACCAAGATTGGCCCGATAAATGGGATGATCATCTAGCCACAAGTCTATGTATAGGATTGAGGTGGGCCACGGTGAGTCAGTAACTAAAAACACTGTGGGTTTGGCCAGCAAAGCTGTTGTTCTTGAATCAGACACTTTTCAAGCAACGAACACACATTAATGAGCAGAAATATGAAAAGGTTCCCATGGCTTATGAAGTGATCTACTATATCTTTTAAGTCCAGTCCGATAAAATGATTTCCTGTATCTAATTCACTACACGAAGTACCACGAAATTTTGTCGCCCAGGGATCAATGAGTACCTGTATAGGTAAGTTTCAGCGCAATGATTGAACCTGACTCGGAGTCCAACTTCTTTCAGGACATCCGTACTAACTATGGCCTGGATGTTTATAATATGACTACCTGTTTTGTGGAAGCACTTATATGTCGTTGACGTTCAAGCTCTTTTCACTGGTGGCGCAAAGTATGGTTTATGACCGCTATATGATGAGGAGTATATTTCCAATGTTACCGTGGAATCGATTGAACTTAAGCACCATGGGTCGTTCATACTGCTTACGATCCCAAATATTTTGATGAGGTTCACAAGTAGGGAGGCTTTTAGCAGAAGACGTACGTCTGTTTACTAAGTGATCACCAGGACTATTGTGATATAAATGTGAGTAAAGGTTCGGCGTCGGTGATGTGCACGATATTTAGGTGTTTTTGTTACCTCATGGAATATCATATTATGGCCCGTGTAATTAAAGAAATGCGGCTCGAGGAAGTGTCTCGTGGAAAAGAGCTTCGAGCTGCTAAGATATCTATCTCTAAGGAATGGGGTTCCGTGGAAAACGTGCCCCATGATTTATGTATTGCAGGCACCCCAGCTACGAAATATTCTTTTTTATCATAAAACAAGATGCGCCTAAAAGTATCTTTCTCCGCGAACTTGTTGGCTTTATTTGGCAAGGTTTCACCCGTGATCTAAAAGGTTTCTGTCCAGAGTCACTTTAAGGCAGCCAGTACCAATGGTTATAATTTCGCCTTCAACTGGAGCATCAAACCCACTTGCTTCTGAGTCCACATAGAATTACTGCACCGAAGAAGAGTTACACAAAGTAGGATAACTAGTCATATCGACACTATTCGATGGTTCGTTCATGCCCAGAAATCCCCTAAATCTACAGGTAAAGAAGTGATCATACCACCTCTTCTCTGTTTCCAGCCTTGACATGAGAGTTCTTCTTCCGCAACTGTTATGTTTTGTGGTTTTTAACCAAGCCTTTCATGGCTAGAAGGTAGACAGATCTCTTGACATAAAATGAGGTAGTGAAAGTAAAAATAATAGAGAAACTAGGCGCACATTGCTACCGTGACGCATGGGTCTGGTGCCTTTTTCTCAGAAATACCATAGGGTAGGGCATGCGTTATGTTGTTGACTATGGTCTGTTGAGACGATATTTATGCCCTCAATCTACGCACCACCAGGTGGTCTATTCTATTTTCTGCTTTTTCCACGTTGTTTGCAACTAAGTTGCTGTGTTCCTCTAGAAGATATGCTAGTGGGTGGAAACTGTCAACTCTTCTCCGAATTTTTCCATCACTGATGTAATATTGTATATTTGTTTTCTCTCATCTTTGGTATTGTTATTCACGACCGAAATAGTGTCTTCAGCTTTGATGAAAAGTATGGGGTACACTAGTTCATCAGGAATTTATATCAGGGTATTAAAGAATTTCTCATGAAATGGAGTGACGTTTAAGCAACAGTGTTGGAAAATGAGGGTCACAAAATTTGGAGAAATATGGCGAGATCCCATTTATACCTACACTACCGAAAATGCTAAGTGTTCCAACTGCTTGGCTGGCACTGCCGCGAGGGAAGTAGGTTATTCGGATTGGTTATAATGTGCAAAACGAAGGCATTTCAATTTTGTAAACTTGAATTTTATATCCAGAGGAGTTCGTTGGCTGCTGAATAAGTGGGTTATCGTGACTTGATAATGGCTTGCAAAATACTGAACAATCCAAGTAACTTGAACAGAGGATTACTACGGAGTGGCCATTATGGTGATCCTGGCGGAAACCCTAAGAGTACTCCCCACCAAAGGCCAAAACTCATGTGCGTTCACACTCCTTCTCCCCTAGAGTCTGACGGCACTGGAATGCATTGCCAGCTGTAATCTCCTCCCTATCAGTTGGAAGCTTCAATTAAGGGCTAGATAGTCACGCAGAGACCCACGGTCTACCCAGATTTAGCTGGAATACGAACTTAGCAGAAGAAATCAACTGCTGTTACGCCATTCCAACTGTCACCTCCACACCAGTTTTCTTTCTACCGTAATCATTTAACCCCTTTTCATCCCTTCCGTTTGCCATGAACTAGCCCACCTAACTATGTTCTTCATATCTTTTCACCCCTCCTCGCCTTATCTGGATGTAAGTGGGTTGCTCCACTAGTTCTTGTCTCTTTGCCTTTTACTCACACAAATTTGCCTTTATAGGTTTTCTATTCACTATCCCTAACTCACTCTAATGACCAGCCCGAGCAAGTGTCTGGTGACTCAAAATCCGAAGAGGCCATCTGCACCAAAGTCCAAGGCGAACTAACCAACACTTAACCCCCTGTTCTGTATACCAGAGCTAAAGCAGACGAGTGGTTGGATCTACTGCATCGGAACCCACCAAAGACCTGAAAACCATTCCGCAAGACCAAGAAAAGAGCAAGAAGAAATCAAATGAATAACACGAACCCGTTGAAAAGGTATTGGACACTAGAAAACCTGGCTTTCAGTGCGAAACAAATACTGATAGCCTCTAGGGTAGAAGTCATCTGGGGTGTTTAAAAAAACATTAGGACGGATTTACTGTCAATGAACACTGTTAGTTACAGCAAATGTTGCCTCTATGTGCGAGTGACTATGTATATCTACCAACTGATACCTTCTGTATCAGCGCATATGGAGCTTCCAGAAATGCTACCGCTGGCCAGGTGTTGTATTTTCGCGGCCAAATTAAGTCTGCTCAAGGTCATGATCTCGAGGCCTATCCATGCTGTCAGTTAAGAAGTGTTTATTTTGGATTTTCAAGGTTCTGAAATTTCGAATTGTCCCTTATTCTATTCTAGAGGTCTAAAAAATCTATTGTTGAGCAGTTGGAGGATATTGATGATGTAATTATTGTAAACATCAAGTGATAAATACTTGTAGGAAATTTTGGAGTTGGAAAGTGATCGGTCCAATAGTATGGACTCGGAAAAGCAATTCGTTTTCCGACTGCTGTTTTACTCTTTCATAATTTTTGGTCTGAGTTTCATAATTGTGTACTACTACTATTGGCCAAGAACAGTAACTGGCAAGGTGGTGGTATGGATAGTATTCGCGATATATCCACTTTGGTAGGATCGTTTAAAATAATCTCACTCCTTAGTATATACTTCTTGAAGTATATTTTTCGGATGGTGTTTGTAAGGCGTGTAAATAAGACAAGTTGGTGGACTATTCTAATGTAACCCACTTTTAGATGAAAAGCTGAAAAAGTTACGTGCTTTCAAACAGAAATTGGTGCGTTTTAACAGATGTACTTATTTTTAATGCAAGTTAGAGGAGGTGATGGAAAAAGAGACGTATAATAAAGCGCAACAGATACTTAAACGCTTCGATCCATTAGCATTTGCATCTATTTCCGTTGAGGTAATTTAACTTCATATTGTTAGTCCTTTGAGTAGGAAAGGAAACCTAATAAGTCTGTCTTCGGTTCCATGATCAATCTGAGTACTAATTCCGAGGTGCGCCGTAGAAATACTTATGATACGGCTTCAGGTGATAAACTTTCAACTCCTGGAATATCAAGTGAGAACATTTTTGATTTTCAAACTTATATCATTTCTGGATTAAGCAATGAGATGTGTGATATTCTTTATTGTTTGACAACTTCATCATGTACACTGTTTCCTATTATAGCATCAATCGTTTAGTTACTTGACTGCACACCATTCGTACTGAGTTTTTAACTATTTTGCCTATGTCAGTGAATTCGTGTTATTAGCGCATTTTAGTCGTGTCTGTGGTATTATATGGAGGTAACTCATCCGTTTATGCGGTACCTTGGTTATTCCTGTAAACACACTAGATACTTGTCTGTGTTCCTCAACTGGACTCCTAGAGTTGCAGCCGATTTCGGTGTCATTTCGCACAACATCAATTCCCATCTTAAAGTTCAGACGAAAGTAGAAAAGTTTTAAGCTACCGCGTTCAAGGAGAACTGGTAAAATTACTCGCTTTAACTCTAGTAATGTGCTTCTTTGTTGATGAATAGCACCAGGAAGCATACAACTCATAGTCTTTGATGCTGAATTTAAAGAATAAACTTTCAGTTAGAATTTTTTGCGTAAGTAGTCACGTGCTTGGTACCAATATCATTCCTATTGTATCCTCGCCTTGCATCAAATCTGTACACCAGATGCCTCATTCAAGCGAGCAGGTGTGTGTAAATCCATTTTAGTTGGTGTCGATGAGTGTATTTAACGCAAACAATTAAAATACCAATTGATGAGTAGCGAAAGCGTTTCTGAACTTTACTATATAGACAGCTCAGAACTAGATTGTCATTAGTAATACCATTGTCTAGAAGTTGGATTTAAAAGCATACCCATTAAAGTATTGAAATGGAAAGGAGTTCAATTATTTTTCAGCCACATTCCAGCAGTCTGACACCCAACCCTAACCTGCGACTGCATATGCTGCGCAGGTATAAGTGTAGTTTATGAAGTCGTGGGAAAACTCTAGGCGACAGTTTTTCAAATACTGGTGGATAACCTCCGCATTCCCCCCCCCTTAGAACGCTTGTCTGTGTATTGGTATTACTTCTCGAAAACTCGGCAGAAGCCGTCTCGGATAGTAGCTCACTTTTTATGTTTGGAGCCAAATGTATACAATTTGTCTGTTCTGTTGTCACTCAAATTGCGTTACTGAGCCTTTCTATGTAGTCACTGTCAACGCAGAACCTCACATACAACCCCATCAGTTCATTGCCACACTTAGTAGTGTACAAAGAATAGGTAGGAAAAGGCTGATATCAAAGTGGAGAAAATTGTGAGAGACTAAACAATCTGAAGATAAAGGATAGTGCCGATATTCAAGCTTTGGAAAAAAACCAAGGAATGAATAACTCTGCGCCACTATGACCGATTTTCAGCCATCTCACCGAGAGTTTTCGACCATTGGTCCCTCTCGTTTTAGGGATCCCAGCCAGGTACCAGGTGGTTTACGTCTACCCACATGGGTCAGACCAGCAACCAGGGACTTCATACACTGGTGCCACTTCTTGGTCCGGCTACCCTGAGTCCTCTTCCAACGTGATCCAACTTAGGGAGTGACTCGGCGTTCACAGTACAGGTCCAAACCTTCTCAGTCGACTAACGTTAACCACTTCAACAGCAAGTACTGATTTTGATGGGAGTTCTTGAAACGACATCCACACCGAGGCCATCAAAGTACGTGTAACAGAACGACTTCGTATGCTGAATACTGGTTTTTACCTATTTTAAATATGCACTTTTTGAACAGTATTAATTGCTTTGTGTTGTGTTTAAGAGCTGAAAACAAGGAAGTTGGTGGTAGCGATGAAACAGAGAGCTAGCAAACATCCCCATATCGGTGCAGTCATGATTGTCAACTGTGCTTCAGTTGTTTAAGCTGGGGTTATGTGCACCTAGTCCATTCTAGTCAAACTGACTTCTTGTTGCCGTAACTGACTAATCCGTGCAGGATACTCCAGTTTACACTACGTAGTCCAAAATCTCAAGCTATACCTGAAGCTACGTGGGACTGTCACTCATTGGTCTAGGAGCCTGACTTTTAACCACTGGGTGACAGCTCTAAATACCACTGTAGTAATAGAGGTTGGGGTGACGAGTTAGTATTATCAGCCGTCATGCAATACTTGTGGCTTACTGAAAATCTATCGTGCGCTTCTCGATGATACTCTCACTGATCTTCATTTTTTCTGTCAGTCATTTTAATAGGCCTAAATAACTGCCGAGTATTACCTAGTGCCAACTCCATCTACCGCTATTGCCGTCCATCACTGCTTGAAGTCCTAATCGAAGCTCTAAGTCAGTTAACCTTTGAACTAATTTTAAAGATGATAGTCAATCAGCACTTTTTCTCATATGTATTAGTTCTCTTGAGGCTGTACAGATGCGCTAACATTTACCAGTCTTTAGTTGTTAGCATTCAACTTTATCGCCTTTTTTGATGATATACAGAATAGCTGCAGAATCAGTCGTATTCAGATAAGCATATTCATCTAGTTGTATGTCTCTTATTTGCCTATGCATTTGAGTTTCAACCGACAAATCCTGGCTTCAAAACTACCACAACCTACTTTGATCTCGGCGACTAGTTAATATGATAAGCCGTCATGCATCACTATGGCCCATGGTGCACCACATAAACACGTATACGGGATTGATTTACATGAAATAAAATAAACCATTTCCAAATGATTTACAGGGTTTCGCTTGTAAGCCACCTAGTCAGGATCTAAAAGTATGATCTCCGAAACAAAATTCACGAATTATCGGAATATATTACTGAACAACATGAGTAGTTAAAAACCATTCACTTTGATCTGTAGATTTCAGTGGGTCTGAACAATTCAGCTGTATAGACTGGGTGTTTCGGGCACACCGCTAATGAGCCCATCCAAGAGCGAGCGAAACAGCCGTCCGGTGTTTAGATCACTGGTCTGATTAGTGAAACTACAGGTGATTTTGTAACTACTGAGGTTGTTGAGTAGTATATTTTGAGTTGCATCAACATTTTATGTAAATTTTAGTTACCTCCTTTGATGCAGACTCAGTGTTAGCATCGTCCTAGGTTCAACTCCTGCATTATGCAGTTCGAACTGCACAAAGTTACCTGGGTTTGTAGACTTAGCTGCTCCTAACCTCTTTTTTCGTATTATGTAGTGATAGAATCTATAGTTTTAAAGAAATATATCAGGCTAATTCTCCTTAGCATGATATAAGAAGACAGAGGTTATCTGAGAAATGTACGATATATCCGTGCAATACATTTTGAACAGTCTGATCACACTTTTACTTATCAAGGCATTTTATATGAGGAATAAAAATAGGGTGAGATAAGATAAATAAGTTAGGTTAATACAATATTTGGAAAATATAAGGATAAAATGGAAGGATAGTACATTTTTATACCTCTCTTGGAATAAGTAACGCGATAAGGATTACCAAGAAAGATTTAAGTTAAGAACCAATTGTTTCTGAATACACAAACGGGGTTTGAACTTCCGTATGGCTGAGACTTTAATGAACCCAACCATACATTCTCAACGGCTCCTATATAATAGTCTAAAGGCTGTTTCAGAGTCAATCCTGTGACCTGTTTCTATAATGTTATTACCTATTGAGGATGACGTCTGTCTGCCCCCCCCTGTATTTATCGGATTATTTGAATGTAATTGTTTTTCTAACCATTTAGGGATATCCTCCACCACCCTCGACTTCATACTTCGATTACTCCTCCCAATATGTGTGTCACCGTACACTCATGTACTGATGAGGTTTATTTTAAAGAAGCACAGGTTTTGTCTTCGCTATAATACTCAGTTTTGCTGCATAGTATGTCTTTTTAATAACTGATTTGAACCTTCACTTTAGGATCATGCTATTTGATTCCCCTTTATTTGGTGGTGTGATGTAAACATCCTTCAGGACAGAATACTGATGTAAACTCTTTATTCACGGATGTATCTTTAACCAAAACTGTTCATATTCTCTGCGATTATGTATCCTTAAATACTGCTTTATTCTCTATCCGTTCGGAAATATTTGAAAGAGTTATAACTGGTATATACCGACAAGGTTCACTTCACTTTACTTTGGAAGGTGAACATTTTCGACACGATGGCGTTGCCATGGATCTTTGGTCCTGTTTGGTGAAGATGCTGACAAGATGCAAAGTCTTCTGAACACAGTAGCAATTTGAGAATGTTCGGGATGCGGTTCTCACCACTCAAATGCAAATTGTTGCTCCAGGATTGGTCTTCAACGGTCCCACTTACCTGGGAAGTAGGATCAGCACTGATGCATTGATCAGTGGCCGATGAAATCTCGGCCAAGTTACAATAGGCTCGACTGGCTGGCTTTCGCCAACTTACTCCATCTGTGGCATCGCCGTGATATCCGATTGTCTATTAAGGGTCGCGTATACTGCACAGTAGTCCTGTCTGTTCTACTGTATGGCTGTCAAACATGGCCATTGAAAGTGGAAGACATGAGAAGGTTGGCTTCAGGTGTTTAACCACCGTTGCCTTCACAGTATAGGCCGTATTCCATGGTGTCACCACGTGAGTAATGCAGAAGTCAGGTAGAGAGTTTTAGGGAGTTGAGGTAAATCAGTTGGTGAGGTTGTGAACCTTCATCGACTGAGATAGTTGGGACACGTACTACGTATGCCTAGTCACCGATTGCCTCATCACACAATGTTAAATGAAGTAGGTCCAGGCTAGAAAAAGGTCCGAGGTGGCCAGACTAAAATATGGCACCAATGTATGAAGTCTCTGACTGTTGGTTTAAGCCATGTGGGGCGATGCAGACTAGGTGGTTGGGGTCGGCGGGACAAGAAGAACCAGTGGTTGGAGACTCTATGTGATATGGCTCAGAACCGATGTCAGTGGCCTAGATGCATACATACATTATCCTGATCTTAACGACGCTGTACCGATTCTCATTACTTTCTCATCCTTCGTTTCTCTCCTTTCGTACTTTATATTTTTCGTGACTGAATTTTCTTATTTTCGTCTTTCACCTCACTACCTTTCTACT